ATAGCCCAAACAGAGTTAGTGCAAACTCAGCATTCAGGAAACCCACGTGAGTTATCAACTCAACAAAAATACATGGCTCACCTCTAGGAAAACAGCCCACTCATCATAAGCTGGGGAGAGCTACCTCTCTGCCCAACTGTTCACTGACCTTTGGTTTCAGGCCTTGACACCAAAATCCAAACAGATAATGAGGGAATATTCCAGCCCACACACAGCCCTGACAGTGCCTCTCACTTTGCTTCTGATCTCTTGCCCTTTCTCTGAGCTTCTCCCTACCCCACCTGCTTCCTCCTGCCCCAGTGCCTGCCTAGAGGCACTCCGTGGGTCTCGCAATCCAGAGATATGTGTCACCCATGCCTTTGGGCTAATCTCCCAGTGTTTATTCTTGCTGTCACAACACCAGCTTGTGTCCTCATTCAGTTTGAGAAATAAACGTTCCCTGTAAACACACACACAGGCCAAGAGCAGGGCACCAGGATGGCTAACAGGTAACGCGACGTGTAGGCAGTCCGCAGTGCAGGAAGTTCTGGGCGGTCACTGAAGAAGGGAGAACATCATGGTGCGAAGAGCACCTTCCTCCGGGGACAGTATTCTCTCAGGGTCCCCAGGGGGACGCAGCTCACTTGGGAGCTTGCTTTTTGGATTTCTGCTGGGCCTCTGGACTTGGGCGTGAACTCATCTTTATGCTCAGTCCTGAAGAGGTCCTTTGCCCTCCAGGGTAGCCCCAGGTGTCAGTATTTGATCTGAGAAGAGAGAAAAGCTTTCAGCACATGGGGACGGGGCTGGGGAAGAGGCAGGTGATAACATGGAACCTGGCAGCCCCTTACATCTGAGCCCCCTGTTGCTACCTGAGGGGTCACCTCCCCGGGCAGCTGCAGTCTGTGCCTGCCTGCATCCTCTCTCTCTGGCAGATGCACAGCCTTCTCTGCTGGTGGTGCAAAGAGATGTTTACCCTGGATGGACACCTCTAGCCATGCCAATTTTCCTCCTCTGACCCTCTGTGGGGGACCAGAATCACCTTCCCCCTCCCTCCAACGTTTCTTCACTTAGGGATTTGGTTGCCTGTCTTTCCTCTCCCTTCAAAGATTTTTCTCAGCTACGACTGCTCCCCACAGAGCATTTACTTGAGGCTGGAGGTAGACAAGATTTGATCCATGGCTGTCCCATCTCAAGTAGCTCAACAGCACACACCAAAACTCATGATGTTAATGGGGAGGCTATAGCTTTGCTTGGTATAATCCCACTTCCCCAGGCCCCCTCATGGTAAATCCAAGCCTATTAAGGCTGTACCTGCTGTAGCATGTCTTCAGAGAGTTGTTGTTTCTGCTGTCTGTGTGGGACCAGCATGGCCTGCATGGTTGTGACAGAACTTGCACCTGCTGACAGATGGAATTGAAATAAAAAGTAAATTCAACCCAGTAAATTAGGAAGCAATGTCAGAAAAGCTTTGCAGTTTGACTTGCAGTCACAGATCTGCATGCATTTCCATTAATGAGAGGAAAAGACAGGCTTTGCCATCAGCACTTTGCTGAAAACCTTTGCCCAGACAGAAACCAATTCTCAGGGTGAGGAGGTAAATGAAGAAATTCACATGGCAGTTACAGGAATATCACTCCATATGCTAGTTATGGAGCTGCTCCAGAAGTTTGGGGCCAAGGAAAAGATCAAATCAACTGTGATCTGTTCCACATTTAGTAAAACAAATGGCTTAAAAACAGATACACGGCATAAAGGGACCTCTCTCTTAGCTACAGAGTACTGGCCATCAGAAACAGGAGGTAATGTCAGAGAAGGATTTTCTTAATGCCTTCCCTGACCAGCTCTAACCACATCCCTTCCTGAGGTTGCAAAAGCAGAGCTTTTGATTGAAATCCTCTCCTTCCTCCCAAATACAAATGCAAAACAACTTCTAAAAATAAATGTAGCAAGGGAGAAAGATCAAGCCGCTTCTTCATGTCCCAGAAATCATTCATGTCACCTGAACATGCTAAATGTTGCTGTAGGATGGCAGTGAATGTCTGTGGCTGGCACGGGCATCAAAGTGGCTGGTAAGTGAGATGTCATTTGGGGAGGTGAAAGTGCCTGAGATTAGGAGCCACTGTGAGAACCAGCAGCAGCAGGCATGGGGCTGAGCATGGCTGTCCTGCCTGGCTTTAGGGTAACAGTCTCATTTTACTAAAGACATGATGCTGCACCAGTGCCTTCCTGCCATCTCCAGCCCAAGATGTCTGGGCTGCCTCCTCTTCCAGAACACCAGGCATCGCTGTCCCTTGCACAGAGCTAGGAGAACCTCAGCAGTCTTCATCTGTCACCACGACAGTCTGAGCAATGTGGCCTTACTGTGGTAGTTGAAGGGGATATGGCTCTTGCGGTGTCTCTTGCTGTCTGCCATCACCCTCTGGCTCTGGTGAGGTGGCTGATAGTCTGACTGCTGTGTTGTGCTGAAGAAATGGGAGTCTGAACGCTCATCTCCCAAGCAGACGTTGCTTCGATGTTTCTGAAGTAGCAAGTCAGGCTTCGGTGCGAAGTTCCACCTGTCAGTCTGGAGAACACAAGAGCTGCTTTAACAGAAACAGGCTGTAGCTGAGAAAGGCACCCTATTGCACATTACACCCTGCACAGCCCAGAGTGGGGAGGGGAGAAGGGGCAACAGCATTGTCTTTAGGTGCCAGAGTAGCGTACGTAAAAGAAGAGAGGGTCTCCACCAGAGAAACACCTGCACAGCAAAGCTGGGAACAGACCTCTGGGTAGGAGAGCTTTGTAGTAGTAGTTCTTGCCAACACTCGATTTCTCTCAGGGTCTTCATCACCTCTGGGGATGAATGAAGCATATTTGTTTGGACGGACAGTAGTTACAGGCTCTGGCAAAAGCAAGAGTGAAGGATGTCAGAGTACTCCAGTCTCTGAACAATTTATAGCTACAGCAGCTTTTCCTCATGCAATAGAGCACAGGAATGAATACAGCTCTTCAACCTGCCAGGGAAGTGGACTGAGGGTGAAATAGAGCCTCACAGTGACAACACTGATGCTGAGTACGTAAAAACTATAAAACATTAAAAATATAAAATTATATACATATTATATGTATGCATTATATCTTTATCTATAATTCTCTCACTAAAACCAAGTGACAAAACCTATGGTTCAGCTCATTATAAACCTCAGTAGTTGTCTGCACACATTGCCTCTGTGTCACAGACTTACCCTACCTAGACTGTGCACTGGGAAGAGCTCTGACGTCGAGGTGGAGAATCTGGTGCAACCATCCCCCAGCTGCAGGTTTGTGCGGTGGAGCTGGGAGGCAGCATGTTCCTTGTCATAGACTCTGCAAGATATCAGGTATGAGCTGCTTAACTAGCAACGTTCATCAGAAAGAGCAGTTCCTGGGGATGCCCACCAGGTTCTCCTGCTGATACCTGTGTGTCTTCTTCTCTGGGGCACGGTAGGCATGCTTCTGCTCACTCACAGATCCACTGCTTCTGGGATCCCCAAATTTAATAGGAGACATGCGCTGAAGGGAAGCCAAGAGAGCTACAGAACAGCCACTTAAAGCATAATCCCTTTGTTTCCCCTCTCTGTCTTTCCGTCCATCTGGTTTTCAGTGGCACAGATCCCACCCCTTTCAGGACAGAATTCAACATGGGGATGTGCTGCCCTTTAACTGTGTCTTGGTCCTCCCCAAAATCATGCTGTTACCTTTTCACTTGGCTTTGCAGGTGGACTCCATTCACCCTTAAACTGTGCTTGGTAAGAAGTGTAGTAATAGGACTGTCCATCCCCTTTAATAGTAGGAACACATCCTGCCAAACAGCCAGAAGGGGAAATTAAGGGCGTTATTTCTAAAAATGCTCTATTTACCCTTGTGAGGAAATATTAATGATATTGGAGCTGCAATCTCGAGGCAGCTGCTCTTTTAGCATTTTAGTACTACTGAATCTATTTCGTATAATGAAGTGGTAAAGCAATTGACACCAGCTTGCAGCAAGGTGAGCCGCAACACTGTGGAACGTGGATGTGGTCCATCAGAACCGATGCAGCTCTGGCATGAAAACTGCAGCATCTGAGGATGCAGCAAGTGTGGAAGACAGCTGGAAAGGCTGCGCAAGCAAAAGCTTGGCTGGCGAGCGGCTCTAGTTAGTGCTATTAACCTGTCTTATGAGCATCAGATTCATTTACTCAGCTATAAAAAGAGAAAGCAAAATAGCCAAATAGTCAGCATGACTCTGAGCCAAGCTACCGACTCCGCTGGGTGCCCAGGAAGCCTGCGCAGCACCGAGGACCGCGGGGAAGGTCTGTTGGGGACAGACCGGTCTGTAAAACAGCTCACCCCTATGCAAGTGCCATGGCCTGGCAGCGGGCTGGATCTCATGTGCCGGGTATGAGAAAGTATAGACGGATGGAGGGAGCTTTATTTTCTGTCTGTCTCCACAAGGAATGTTATCCTTCCATTTCTTGGCTGTGGGCAGGGGGGGTCTCTGAAGGGGGGTGTGGGGACAGGGGAAGCTCTCCCTCGTTGCTGAGGTGAGGACGCGGATACGGGGGTCTGCGTGCATGCGGACACGCGATTCTGGGGGAACAACTGGGGCCACCGGCTGCAGGGGCCTCTCTGGAAACGCCCGGCGAGTTTCCGAGCAGGTTTCCCCACCGTCACCCCGCGTCGGGCTCAGCACCCACCCGCTGCGGGGCGGCGGGGCTGGGGCCGGCCTGTAAACCCCCCAGAGTGGGGGGAACTGGCTATGAGAAAATGGCCGACGGCCGCTTCCCGGCGCCCGACGCTCAGCCCCCAACTGAATGTGGGATGCCTTCAGGAAGGGAAGGCCCGTGAGGGGCTCCAGGATCACCGGCACGGCGCCGGCCGCCATGGCCGAAGAGGCTGGAGGCCGCGGCCGGGCTTCGGTAACCACTAGGACCCGTCGCCATGGCGACGGTTCCGCCACCTTCCCGGCGAACCCCGCGCCGGCTCCGACCGTGTGTGTGACGTCACATCCCGGAAGCGTTGCTATGGCGGCGGCCGCGCTCAACGGCCTAGTCGCCGTGTTGGAGACCTACCGCGGCCGCGACCGGGTGGTGAGTGACGGAGAGCGGCCCAGCGGGGCTCTGTCCTGCCGGTAACGGCGGGGCCTTCACCGGGCTCTGCCTCCGCAGGTCCGGGCTCTCTGTTATGGCTGTCAGCTGGCGGGCGGAGCGCTGGCCGGGCCTCAGGCCTCGCCATCCGGGCTGCCCGGGAGTCTCCTGGTCGTGTCGGCCCAGCTGAGCGCCTGCCGCACGGCCCTGCGCCTCTTCGACGATTTCGCCATGCTCAGCTACAGCTGTGGTTACGGGCTGGGCCCCAAGGTGAGCGTGGCGGCACAGGGTGCACCAGCAGCCTTCCCGGCTGTGCCGCAGGCGTCAAGGTGTGTCCCCGCCATGCTCCCCGCAGGACGAGGACGGCCTGGTGAGGGGGCTTTCGGTGCTCTGCAACTTGGCCAACCAACTCTACTACCCCTGTGAGCATGTTGCGTGGGCGGCCGATGCTGGCATCATCCGTGTCGGCTCTCAGAAGTGGTGGACTGTGAGCACAGCACTCTGGGCCTTCTCCCTGCTTCTGGGTGTCCTGCGGTAAGGCTGGCTGAGGTGCCGCAGTCTGCGGCGGGAAGGAGATGGACAGGGGATGAGCCGTGTTCCCTGTAATCAGGCTAAAATGAAGGACCCTCTCGGCTGCAGAGGGGTGCTCTTCCTCACAGACGCATTTAATGCTAGGGAAAAAAATCCCTCCCCTTTGATGCTGTAGGAGAAATAACTCTTGTCTTGTTTTCAGATCCCTGAGAATCTTGTTCCAGTTAAGAAGAAAGCTGAGGCAGCACAAGTGGTATGATTTCCCTCCTTGGCTATACAGCTAATTTAACCCAAATACATCTATTCTCATTTGTGAGCTATCACTAATTATTATTATATGATGGGCTATCACTAATATTACTTTTGCTTCCAACAGCACATCTTCGCCTCTGAGTCGAAAGGAAATGAAAGCCCAAGTGAAGGCTGAAGTTTTGAGCATCCTCACCGACATGGCAGATCTCTGCAACGCAATCCACTGGCTGCCTCCGGGATTTCTTTGGGCCGGACGCTTTCCTCCATGGTTAGTAGGTCTCCTGGGGACCATATCTTCCCTGATTGGTATCTACCAAGCATCTAGAGGAGGAAATTCTGAAGCTGTATAAACCATAATTAAGCTTCAGGAGCCCAATTTCTACATGGTAAAAATGCCTTTAGTGAGGCAGGGTGTATTTTAACTTGCTTGGGTGTTGACAACTGTAATTTCACGCATCCTGTAACTGGGATTATAGTCAAGGTGTCTATTACAGCGAGGATTGTTTACGGTTAACACTTTTTATTATTCTTCATCAGAGAAATCTTTCAGGCGAATCCTCTGAAAATCAAGAAATCTTCTAGGACTGGTAAAATAGAGGGGAAAAAAGTCACTTCTATCCTTCCTTCCTCTGTCCCAAAAGATAAATGCAACCCTCCAGTCTTTGCTGTCACTTAAAAGAGCACAAAGTCAGCGTTAAGTGGAGAAATGGCCACAGTTCTGTCACACAAAACTGCTAAGGGATGGATCCAGTGAGTTCGAGCTCTGGGCTCAGCGCTTGGTGCCTCCTCTGAACCAGGGAGGTGACCCGTATCGTGGAAGTTTCTCCGTCAGAGAGATGTTGGTGTTTGAGCCGAGCAGATCCCCCAAGCGCAAACAGGAGCAAGCGGTTATTTGGTTTGTGACGGTTGTGTTTCTTTAGAGATGAGAGGGGAAAGAAGTAGCAGCTGTAAGCAGTGCCTTGCAAAGCTTTTTGTAGTCTGTGTTGCTCATTTAAGGAGAAATACTGGAAGTTGAGACTTGTGGCGTAAAGGAGAAGCAGCACTGAGCCTCCAGCTGTGCCTTTACGGAACGCCACCGGGTGGAGCTCTTCCACCAGGCTCTGGGCAGCAGCCAACGGACTTGTTTTTTTAAAAAAAAAAACCAGCACATTTATTAATCACTTTTCAAAGGACCAGTCGAACCAATGCCAAGATGAGTTTTACAGTTATATTTCTAGGTGGTGCCAGTAATAAATGAGACGAACGCTTCAAAGGTGGCCTTGAGTGATCAGTCCTTCTGATAACAGGGCAAATGTTCTTTATCTGGTTCTAGAAAGCTCCAAACAGTGCCTGGGTGACAGAAAACGTTTGTGCTGCGTTAGCTGCAGCTCCCCATCTGTTACCAGCCTTCCTTCTCCTGAAATAATTCAGAGCACCTGACTAACTGTCACAAAAATGCATCTTTTGAAAACAGTTCTGCTTAGTCTGCGCTGTGCCCGTGCTCCCTGTAACGCAGTACGGCGCACACCATGTTTCCAGGAGATTTGACCTCTTTGTTTTTTTGTTGTTATTGTTGTTTTTGGCACGGACGCAGGAAACTATCTCCTGCCTCTGCTCAAAGAGCAGAGCGAGGTCTTGATATGCTTTATCCTTTGCCCTGTCCTTGCTGTTTTTCTGGACCTTCACCCCGTGAAGTGTCCCAGAGGACGCCTTCCCGACTCTGCTCAGAATTTGGTGTCAGATTTACAGGTTTTGGTACAACTCGGAGTGTGGGCAGGCATTATCTGGAAGAGACTCTCTTTTTTCCTCTAGTCACGCCGCAGGTCTTGTGCCCAAAGAGGCAGAACACCCGGGTCCTGCTGCTTGGGAACAGCTGTAGCTACTGCCCAGTCCTGTCACCCGCTGCGGTGGCTCCTGCTGCAATTTAGTGGTTTTTTAGTAAGAAATCGGATTCCATCTCTTTGTATTCTTAACCCCGTGAAACCATTCCTTCAGAACACGCTCTCCTGCTTAGCGTGGGACAAGGTGTAGCTATAGCGATTTAAGAAAAGCCCAAATAAGCACACCTCCAATGCCAAAGCTCTAAACCATGCTTTTTATTTTAACGTAGAGAAAGGACACTGTAAACTGGCCTAAGTGTGTTTGCTTCATCTGCTTCCTTGTTGGGTGATTTTAAATCGCAGCCAGTGAAGTGCAGGACAAACTGAAATGTGCAAAACCTGGTAATTCAGAAATTTGTATTTTTCTGTGGAGTGCTTTTGGTCCCCACTGACACATAATATTTAAGCACCTATGGTGGCTGCTGCTGACTGTCCCGGGCAGCACGCTCTCTTTTTTAACACAAACCCTTGTGTGGGCAGACCCCATCCTCCCAAAACCTGCTGCTTTTTTTTGTGTGTCTTTTTTTTCCTTTTTTTTTCTGCTGCGGCCATCAGCCCAACTCAGCTCCTGCATTGCCCCGTGCAAGAAAACATTTGCTGAGCAGGGATGGTTTGTTCCGGCCGTGACCTCCCTTTGTCAGCAGCCCGTTAGCAGATGAGCTGCTGATTCCAGCCCAGAGCTCCTGATTTTATGGCCCCTTTGTGGCCGGGGGGGGGCGGGACACCCACATACAACTCCACGACCAAAGCTGCAGGCGGCCTTTATGGGCATCACGGCTGCCCTACCGTCCCCTTTTTCGGCTGCTGACTCCTGCCTAAGCATTGCTGCAGGAGGGAGCGATGAGAGCTGCTCTTGCTGGCGGGGGGAGCAGCGCTGCGAGGCGGGGAAATGGAGCTGGGGGCGGGGGGGGGATACGGACACGTTGCCGGCGGGCAGGAAAGGGTTAAAGCTCGGCGCATGCGCACGCCCCCACCTCGGTTTCCATTCACAAAAGAGCGAGGGGAGGGCGTTGAAGTCGCTGATTGGTTGTTGCGCCGCGCCCGTCGGGGGGAAGGGGGCGGAGCTGACGGTGGGGCGGCCACGCGGCGGCGGCGGCGGGGAGCGGTGGGTGAGTGAGTGCGGGACCGGAGAGAGGTGCGGGATGGCGGGGAAGGGTGGGCACCAGTAGCACCGGGGAGCGCATATCTCCCACTCGGTACTTCGCAGGGCCCGGCCGAGCCGTACCCTGCACCGGCGTTCGGTACCGGATCGCCCGGTGCTCCGCTTCGGTCTGCGCTAGGCGAGTACCGCCGCTGCGGGACGCCCCTCCGAGGTCCCCCTTACCGGTCGGGGACCGTACACCCGTCGCTGGCTTCTCTCTGCGGTCGCCGTCCCGCTGCAGCCCTCCGGCGCGACCCCAGCTGCACCCCCCCCCCCCCCCCCCCGGCCCCTGCTCCCCGGCGCCGCCC